CTGGAATTTCTTTACTAAGTCCTTCTTTAGACACACATGTGAACCCATGAAGACCATGTAAAGGGTTCTATTTCACCCTTAATTTATTTACTAAGTTCCAACAGTAAATACATCATCTTAAATCCTGGCAGATGTCTTCTGTCAAACTACAGTAAAAGCTGAAAGTTTTAATTTGCTTAGTGTAAGCCTCTCTCCAAGGCTTTCCCATTTTTGATCCTATAATCAAACTAGGAAAAAGCAGTAGAAAATCAGGCCACCTTAAGGACAGTTCCCTATCAATTTTGCTAAAAATTGCAGCAACAAAGGAAGATAAATGTGATAGTAACCAGCAATGGGAAGACCAGCAGCACGAATGACTGGCATCATTTTAATGTATACCAGCTGAATGAGCTTCCTTTTGACCTTGACCCTGAGTGTAAGCTACATAGCTCCTTCCCCTAGAACCAGGAATTGCAAGGCCTCCCACAGGCTAGAGAAGCACACTATTACTGAGCTCCACCCCCAGCCTTTTTATTTTTTGTTCTTTGAGACAAGGTCTTAGGAAGTTGCTTGGGCTAGCTTTCATCTTGCAATCTTTCTGCCTCAGTCTCCTAAGTGACTAGGGTTATAGGCATGTGCTGCTTCCCCCAGCCTACATCTGTTCCCTTGTCACTTGCACAGCATAACTAGGAGTGTCAGTGACATGTTACTGGCTCTTTATCATAAACTGTACTCAGACATCATTAAGGGCTGCTAAGCCTTATCTTTGTCATCTGTAGAGTGGGAATATATAAATTGTGAAAAAATATGAGCTCGTATAGAAAAACATAGTGTGCCTCTATTGGCCATGTCTGGCTCACCCTTCTCACAACTACAAACTGAGAAAGATAAAGGGGCCCCCAAAAGCCAGAGTGATACGTGTAAGTGTGCTGCGATTAAAGCCCATCCACAGCACAGGCCTCTTACTCCACAGAACCAAAGACAGGCCTGTGTACTGGGAGCTCCTTGCGGATTATTGATTTTGTTCTTCAACTTTGTCCTTTGCAGTTGTTACTCCCCAAGGACTATGCTCCTGACTGCTGTAGCAAAGAACAAACTGCTATGACAATGAGTAAATCCTTATTTATCAAGTGTTTAAAGTAAAGGTTGCAGTTTAGTGTAAAAAAAATAGTAGAAAGTAAGCCAAAAAACTAAGAAGATCCTAATTGTTTGGAGTGGGTTAGAAACAATAGAGTACAAATACAGGACGAACGAAATGAATCCGAAAGGAGGTCAGAGAAGGCCAGTGGGTGCCTAAGTCGCTTTTCTAGGTCATCTGGCTTATCTTCCAGCAAAGAGAAGAGGAGCGAGCGCCAACTGATCCTTGTGTCTGTTATTTTTAATCTTTTAGGTCTCTGTAGAGCGTGTCCTTTGTGGCAGACACTGTGCTCAGTCCTGGGTTTAAAATGATGCCCGTGCTGGGTGCCATTGCTCCCCTGGGGAAGGGCACGATCTGTATTTTGTTTCATAGAATGCTACTTTCTAAGGTGAGCTTACAGATACTGCTATATATTTCTTGTGGCCCAGCTGTGGCTTAATGTCCCTAGAATAAAATTTTGGGCATGCTTGACCATTTAAGGTATCTTCTTTTTCAGGTGAGAAATGAACTAGAAGTCCTGTGGCACAAATGTCAGTTCTGTGGTATCTAGCGAGGAAGCATCAACTTCTGGAGGCTTAGAACCACTGCTACTTCCTATAATAGTGCCCCACACTCGGGTAGTCATATAGGGCGCAAGCCTCCGTGCCCACCCGTCCATCATTGCAACCTTCAGCAGGGAATGCTGTGCTCTTAAACCACAGAAATCTGGCTCCTTTGTGGCCCTTGAGTTCCCTCAAGGCTGGTTTACATTATTTGTGTTTCTTACCTACCTAATCTTCTCCAGTCAGCTCCCTACTTCCCTGACCTCTTTTCCTAGTCTCCCCTTACCATCCAGGCTCAGCCCATCACCATGTTCTTCGTTTGTTTTGCAGGCCAAAGGGGACTTTGTCTTTGCTATACCCTCCAACTAGAACAATTTCCTCCTTACAGTCAAAACAGGGCTGACCACGGCTCACCATTCAAACCTCCGAGTAAACATCACCTGCACAGTGGACTGAAAGTAACCAGCTGGCCATCCATTGTCACTCACCCCTCTTCCATGACCTGTATGCTAATATTACTACTTCACATTTTTCTTGTATTTATTGCTAATGTTTTGCACTAGGAAATGATTTTTTTTTTTTTTTTTTTTTTTGTCTTTTTCCTTTTTATCAGTACCGGGGATCGAACTCATAACTGCCTGCTTCCAAGGCAGGCGCTTATACCGCTGAGCTAAACCTCCAGCCCCCTAGGAAATGATCTTTATGAGCCAGGGATTGTGTTTTGTCTGTCTTGCTCTTCACTGTGTCCTTGGTGCCCTGAAACACTTCTGGTGCATCAGAAATACTTGATGAATGAAATGGTTTAATAGTATGGCCCTTCCATATTGCTGAGCACATAGCTGAGTCTCAATCAAATTTAGCTTTTTCTTTCTTCATCTAATAATCAAGAGTATATTCCCCCAGCAGTGACTTCATAGTCTACTAAAAGGAAAAATACCAAAGAAACCCAAAACACTCAGGTGTAACTATTTCACTGTATAAAATATATGCCATTCGATTCCTTCAGAAAACTGAGGAGTCAGACTTTTTAGGAGTAATGTATGATGGAGATTTCGAAATGCAAAACCAGTGTAGTTACTTGTTACTTCTTCAGCCAAAAACCAGAGTAGTTACTTGTTCCAAGAACCACACAAAATCTCCTGAGTCAGAAAATATGTCTCCTGCTTTTTCTTTCTTTTGGTACTGTCATCTGAATTCTCCATTTCCCCTGTATTAAGGTTTTCTGGAGAGAAAGAATCTCTAGGATAGATAGATAGATAGATAGATAGATAGATAGATAGATAGATAGATAGACAAAGAGACAAATAGATACATATAGATGAAACGGGGCTAGTTAAAGGGTATTGTAGTTTGGGTGTAGTTTGTTCTCCAAAGGTTCGCGTTGTGGGAGCTTGATCCCCAAGATAGTGGTGTTGGGAGATTGTGTGGAAAGTTTAAGATGTGGGTTTCGCAGGAGGCCGTAGGTCCCCGGAACAGTTACTTAAAGAGAGGATTACGGTTGCTCTCCTGGACCTCTCCTTTCCCATTAGAGCAAGTTATTATGCAAATGCATTTCTCTGTGGCTTCCTCTCTTGCAATATGATCCCTAGCTCCTGTATGTGTTCCTATAGTCTGCTATGGGGCCAGAGATAGTATTCTGTAGTCCAGAACTCTAAGCTGAATAAATTTCTGTCTCGGGTATTTCGTTATACTAATAAAAAAAACTGACTAATATAAAAGAAATGGCCCACATGGTTATGGAGGTTGAGAAATCCCAGAACAAAGTGTTTACAAGGGGGATATCCTGAAATGCTGGAAGGAAAGATCAGGCTAAGTCTGAAGACTTCAAAATCAGGGAAACTGATGATCTAATTCTCAACTCAAGGCCATAGGTCTAAAAACATGTGTAAGTCCTAGAGTTCAAAGTTCAAAGGCTAAAGGGCCTGGACCTCTGATGTCCAAGGAGGTAAGAAAAATATCCTAGCTACAGGTGGTGGTAGTAGGCAGACAGAAGAAAAGGAAGAGGAGGAGGATAAGGAGGAAAGAAACCAAGATAAGAAATTATCTTTATTAGTTTTTGTTTGTTTTATCCAGGCCCCCAGCCAGTTGGACAGTGCCTGCCCACCTTGTGGGCATATCTTTCCCACTCAGTCCACTGACTGGCATGCCAATCTCCTCTAAAAGCGCCTTCACAGACAAACCCAGAAACAACACTTTAATTGTTCCCTAGACATTTCTTAATCTATGTCTCAATCTGGTAGAGTCAACACCCAAAATAACCATCAAAACTATATTCGCTGTCAACTTGGCACCTATGCTCATCTCATTGAACCGTACTTAAAATAAAGACAATAACAAAGTACTAGTTCCACTTAACAGGGTATATCTGTTCTGTGTACAAGTGAAAATGGATTAACTCATTTCCCAGAAAAAGCAGGAAAGTCTTTGAGTGGTGTTTACATTCTTCCCCTGATATATTCTATAACATAAAATGATGATGTAAAAGTAACAACACTTTAGTACTAAATAAGCATATCTTGTGTTATATGATAAGAGAATAAGAAAGAAATGAGGACAAGCATATTTGCTTTACCTGTGTACTGTATATAAACACACAAAGAAATTTCCTAACAAAATAGAAAAGATATATTCATGGCAATAATGGTTTTTGTTTCTACCATCGGTCACGTGGTCCTAGTTGGTGTTTATAACTCTCTTCTACTACTCGTTCTCTTCCTTTTTTCTTCAGCAAATGCCTCAGCTGTTGTTTTGTTTTGTGTTTTTTAAATCTAGCAGGATGAAATGAATATTCCTTTCTAAAGGGCGCGGGTCACTCACAATCTTTCTTGGATTGGTGGTTGGTTGTAGTTTCCCATTGAGTTTAATCACATGGGTTATGAATACTAAAAGATGCCCTAGTGGCTCTCTAGCACTGTGGGTGCTGGAGTCCTTCACCGCCACATGGAATAGTACTGTGATTTCCCCCCTTAGTACTCTGCTCAGTTATCTCCACTGGTACCATAACTCCCATCTTATCCTGTTGACTCCAGTGAAAGAGGAGCCCAAAGTGGTCAAGTAGCAGTCTTAACTTTTAGTTTAGTGGAATTAGTACAGACAGGATATTGGAAGTGAAGAATTCACTCTCCTTCGCAAATATGAATTTAAGCCATTCCTCCCTAATTACTCCCTTCTACCCCCTTGAGCTCAGATGGCACCTTAGGAGTGGTCCATGTAACCCCAGACCAAAGAACATACAAGCCCTCAAGAGCTTGATTTATCTGCATGGCATGCAGTTCCTTTTCCATGATCTATTTCTCTGTTCATGGCTTTCAATAAATATAGCTACTTTTCCCTCACCACAGGGTATGAGCTTTGCACTTCATTGCTGGCTGTAAATAAGAACTTGGAATCTATCTGTTGGATCCACCATAAGGTAACATTATCTTTATTGTGTTGCCTAGTGGAAGAATTCATCCCTTTGGAATTACAGCATCTAGGCCATCTGTGCACATCTGAACATAAAGTTGCAGGGACAGGAAACAAAAATTTTGCTAGTGGGTCACTAAGGGTATGATAGGTGGTACCATGGCGGTTTTTGACCCCTTCGTTCCAGGATCAAGTCCTTCAAATCCTATTTTTTTTTTTTTTTTTGAGACATGATCTCATTATTCAGTTCAGACTTGCCTCAAACTCATAGTGCTCCACCTGCCTCAGCTTCCCAAGTGCTAGGATTACAGGTGTTTACCACTATGCCTGCTTCACAAATTCTCACTTCGGAGAAAGTCTATATGTTGTTAATTCAGTAGGGGTCACATCACCCCTACTGTATAAGGGAAGTTTCTGTATATGAGAGAAACTTGCCCCTGCACAGCAAACAACAGCACTGTAACTGAAACTTGAAAAGGTCACTCTACTGTTCTATTAAGCCAGATGCTTCTGAATGATGGCTATTAATTTCATAAACATGACCCTGTCACTGAACTTTTGACTGTAAATTGAGTTCTTCAGTCAGAAGCAGTCCTATGCAGAAAATCATGACAGTGAATAAGGTATTCTGTTATTCCATGATGGTAGTTTTGGCAGAAGTATTACATGTAGGAAAGGCAAATCCCTGTACAGAGTGTCTACTTCAGTAAGGACCAAATATTACCTCTTCCATGATGGAAATGGTCCATTGTAATCAACTTGCCCCATGTAGCTGGCTGATCAGTTTGGGGAATGGGACATGATGTTATTCTCTTCTGCTGATAGACTGGGCACTCAGTGGTGGTCAAATCTAGGGTTGCCTTGGTAGCAGAAGCCCATTTCCTGAGCCCAAGTATAACCCCCATCCTTAACACCATGGCTACTTTGCCTATGAGCCCACTAGGCAATAACAAGGGTAGCTGGTGCCAGACTCTACAGACTGAGTCATCCTTTCCACTTAGTTTTTACAGTCCTCATCTTCTGGGCTAGCCCTTTGTTGGGTGCATATGGACTATAAATCTCTTTTCAGCTGTTGCCCACTCAGAAGGGCCTATTTACCTCTTCCCCCATTTTTTCACTAATTTTCCAGTTACGCATGTTCCATGTCTCTGACTATTTAGCAAATCAGTGACCACAACCCATGAATTAGTATAAGAGTGGACATCTAGGCTTTCTGCCTGCAAGCAAAGGGCACAACTGTCTGAAGTTCTACCTACTAAACCGATTCCCTTTTACCTCTCTTCTTCAGGAATGTGCCAGAAAGAGGCACTATAGTGCTGCACCTGTCCACTTACCAGGAACTTGGTGGGGTGGTGTTACCAACATGAAAATGAGACACGGGCTTCATCTCCCAGAAACATGAAAATAGGATTATTCATCAACTTTGTGGTAAGATTTTCATTTCCCGAAGAGTCTGCAACCTTGCTGTTTTCTGAGAACATGGTGTATTTCATATTTCACTATTTTTAGAATTTTTCTGGCTAGCTTTGATATTTTTGTTTTGTTGCTTTAGTTTTGTCCTCTACAACCCTTTGTACCTAATAACTTGCAACATTATATGTTATAACCCTGTGGAAAGTGGGACACTATATCAATTTATTAAGCAAAAGTTCAAAGATGAATTACTGTGTTGCCCTAATTATACTGTCTAACCCTTCACTCAATATATTTGAAAATATTAATTGATTAAAAGGACGAAAGGCAGTTCTTAGCACCACAGTTTTAGGTTCCCCACAGAGCCACCATGATGCTGCAATGTTAAGTTCCCAAATTCCCCTTGTGTGTCAGGTTATGGCCACTCAGTCCTTTGATGACCCAAAATGCTCTGAAAAAATGTGACTTTTTTTTTTTTGTCTTTTTCTTTCTTTCTTTCTTTCTTTTTTATCGGTACCAGGGATCGAACTCACGACCGTACACTTTGCAAGGCAGGCACTTATGCCGCTGAGCTAAATCCCCAGCCCCAAAATGTGACTTTTTGATAGCTGTTATTTTAGGAAGTGTCCATTATGTCTCCATAATTTCTACTTCTAGAATTGTGGGAGACATGAAAAACATCCATTTACTACATAGATTAATTTAAAATCTTAAAACTCATCTCTAACTCTGAATACCACCCAACCCGTGCGCTTAACAGGGATTTTAAGAAGTCTACACATGCTTACATTTTCTGAGAATTTTAAATTCTGAGAGTGGGATTATTTTGTGAAATTGTCTCTTTCTATTTCTAACTTACATCTTGTACATAATCAATGTTCAATAAATATTGGAGGTATTTGATAAATTTCTCTCTTGGGTTTACCATAATTTCTTCTATCTTATCTTTATACTTCAATTTTAAAACTCTAAGACATATTTCAGAAGGAGATACTATAGAATTGTTCATAGGAGTAAATTTTCATTTCAAAAGCTATTTTATCCTAGGTTTTATAAGCATCAGAACTATGATTCACCTTGATAGCATAGTTTCCTGAGAATGTATCATAAAATCTAATACTTTTTCAAGGGTAATTTGTTTCTAAATTGTACTTATATAAATCCTTTTAGTAAATAATATTAGGCTGTTAGTCATCTTTTGGTTACTGTGACAAAATTTGTGAGATAAACAGCTTAAAGGAGGAAAGATTTACTTTGGCTCATGGTGCCAAAGGTTCCAGGTCATGGTCATTTGACTCCATTACTTTTCGGCTTGCATCAAGGGAGAAAAATCATGATGGAAAGGTTTGGCAGAGGAAGAATGCTTACATCATGGCATTCATGAAGCAGAAAAATCAGAGAGAGAGAAAGAGAGAGCATCAAAGAAAAAGGGACTGGAGCCAAGATACACACAACCCCATGACTCACACCCTTCAGCTAGATCCCACCCTTCTAATAGTCCATTAAACTATCAACCCATCAATTAACCCATTAGTTAATTAGTTAACCCATCATCTGGCCATTAGGGAACATTTTCAGTCCCAACCAGAGCAAATAGTTACCTCCAAAGTACAGGTCAATATATATATTTTTTTTTTTTTTGTCTTTTTCCTTTTTATCGGTACCGGGGATCGAACTCACGACTGCCTGCTTGCAAGGCAGGCACTTATGCCGCTGAGCTAAATCCCCAGCCCCCAGGTCAATGTATTTTTTTAATAAAATCTTATTACAGGCATTATTGATCCAAAGATTATGTAACAGTGAAAATGTAATTTTTCAAAATCAAAGAGACAATATTATTTCCACCAGTTATTATCTACTAACACTTCTACTTTACTATGCATAACCTTAGAATCAAACAGATCATCATGATAGATCACTTGAAATTCATTCTTTGAATCATGTTGTTCCTATCACTTCTGATACACCAATATAAATACAACCTACAGGTTCTGTTTGGGAAGCCTTGATTTTACCACAAGTGTTTTCCTGTCTCTCTTGACCACATTGTAAATATTGTATTTTTAGAGCTACGAGCTGCTGCTGTACTCATCATGAGTGGTCCACTGTCTTCCTTTTCTTTTTTATGAGAATACTGAAGGGCTTAGATAGGCCCCACATTCATAACTTTGGTGCAACCTCCACTTGCCACTCTTTCCTGAGGTCTTCTCATCTCTTCCAGCCTTCCAGTTTCTTTTCTTAGGACTCTCACTCTTTTGAATGTTACAGACTTCTGAAAGGTTCATCAGGACTCTGTAAGATACTTCAGGGCTGCTGTTTGATACTGCACACATTAAAAATGTTGGAAATTATATTTACGTGTAGATGTCCAAGACAAACACAGCAATAATAAAAACACTAAAAGGAGCTAAATTATTTCCTAGAATGATATCAAAAGTCTCCAAAACGTAAAACCTCAAGAGAAAACGATACTAGGAAATCTGAGATCTTACCCTTCTCCGGGCAAGCCAATTATTTATCCTCAGAGAGCAAGCTTTTCCGATTTTTCCCACTCTCTTTCTGGTCATTTGTTTCACAATGGGCTTGGGTGGAGATGTGAGGTTAGGTCATCACAGAACACTGTCATTTCTGTGAAGCCACTCTGTGCATGCACTGTTATATTCTGTGTCTATGTGTGAGGAGGACAGTTTGGAATCATTATGTTAAATGCTTTTGCTTGTTTTATTTTTTGGTTTTTTGAGAGATGTAGTTTAGGCTGACCTTGACTCGCCACAAAGCTCAGGTTAGCCTCAAACTCACAAGAATCCTCCTATCTCAGTCTCCCAAGTATGCTGGGATTACAGGTGTGTGCCACCAGGTCTGGCTCTTTTTGTTTTAAAATTTAAAACTATTATATACATGGAAGCTGGACTTTTTACTGGAATAGTACTACCAACCCAATTCACATGTTACAGAATCATGAAGAGACTTTGCTGGTACAAAAATACCTTAAAGAAAATGAGTCTCCCTTTTTTTTTTTTTTTTTTTTTAAATTTTTACTCCATGGGACACTGTAGTGATCCCTAGATGTTCTTGATAACCATTTACTGAGGGCTTGCTTAAATTCTCACTGACATCATCTCTATCACAAAAAGTCACCTCTACCATTATCAGATGGCATTATTGCTTTTTCAGGCCAAACTCAAATAGCCTCATTGAAGTTTTAAAGGAGTGACTCACATATTCTCATGCTGGATACAGCACTGATCCTCTGGGCAAACCAATGTGCGGAAATGAATATATCCCTCTTTGAAACTTCAGTTTATATCCCCTGTTTTACCAGCAAGGAGTCACTAAATGGTTACACTAACTGTCTAATGCTATGCTTAGTGCTTATTATGCAACTTCTGCTCAACCTCTATAATGACTCTATGGAAAATGTTAACTATCTCACATATTCTTAAGGCTTGAAGTTTAATGACACTAAGTGTGACATGATGCAGTTAGTAATGGCAAAGCCAGAAAGCAAGTCTAGGTGTTTCAGACACCAACAACCCTATTTGTTCTAACCAGGAACTTAGTAACTTAGCTGGAAATATCATAAATTGAAAAAAAATATATATATATATATATAAAGTTGGATGTAGTGGTGACTGCCTGTAATACTGGCACTTGGGAGACTGAGGCAGTAGTATCATGAGTTTGAGGCCAACCTAGCCTATATGCTGCATTGAAAGCCAGCCTGAACTATGTAGTGAGAGTCTGTTGTTATTTGTTTTGGTGCTGGGAGTTGAACTCACGACCTCGTACTTGCCAGGCAGGCACTTGTGCCACTGAGCTAAATCCCTGGCTATGAGAATTTGTTTCAAAGAGAATTATATATCTAGACTAGAGAACACCATAGCTCAGTCTAACTTGCGTAGCTTACCTTAAATGTGCTCAAAACATTTACACCAGCCTAGTATTTGGCATCATGAGTGTATCATATTACATACTGCCAGCCCAAAAAAAGATTAAAGTTTAAATTCAAAGAATTGATTTTATTAAGCAAATTCTTACTCTTAAGAGTCCCATTTTTGCACTTTGAAGCAATGGAAATAGAATTGGAGGAGTTTCCATGAAATTTGATGTTTTTGTTCTGTCTTATTACTTAAGAATCACTTCAACCCCACTGTAGAATCAAAACTATCATTAAATGGAGCATCATAAATCAGGACTGTCCGTAATCTGCCTTCTTATCGATTTTATGTGCTAGTCCTTCACATATTTGTAGATCACTATCATCATCATTTTGACTTGTATTCGCACTATTAATAATCTACTCGTATTTTGTCCAATATATCTATCTAAGATCTGCCTGCTTCTCTGTAGAACCTAGCAGAGAGTTGGGCTGAAAGGGAGACATTATGTATCATTTGTGTGGAACAAAGCCCATATTTTCAACATCCTCAGCTCCCTAGGTCTACTGGCAGGACTACTCATCAGTTTGAATCTTATACTTTAATGCCTTTCCCAAAACAGTTGTGTCTAACTCAGGTTATTTTCATTGGGGCAGTTCCACTTTTAGATTTTTGAAGAAATAAAATGAGAACTAGAGGAATTTCCAGCAAATGTGATCTTTCAGGACTGTTTCAGCATTTTTGATTCAGCATTTGACTCTGGGCAAAGCACTTACTTAACTTCTTCAAGTATCCTCGGGGTTAACGTTCATTTTGTTAATCTCACAGGGTGATTGGGAAGATCAGACGAGATTAGCGATGGGAGAAAATTTGAAAACTTAAGTCAGTTATGTAATTTAAAACCCACAAGAACAGCACAACTTAGCTATTAATATAAAATTTTCCTCTAAGAATCAACATTTCAATCAGTGAAAAGAGCTGATTGCCACAAATTTCTGAAACGGAAGGGGCAGAGTTCAGATAGCAACATTGCTCATCCAAGTGTGTTTCAGTGACCCGTCTAGAGAGCCTTTGTATTTTCTGTCTATTGTCAATTCACAGCTTCGTAAAAGAGGAGGTGCAGAGTGGGAAAGGAGT